TGACAACAAAAAGAAGTGGAAGATAAGGAAGGCCATTGATATTCTTGGGGATAAAAATCTAATGAACAGGAGATTGGAGGAAGGTAGAGTTAGCGATAACTTTGTCTACTGCCTAAGCAAACTCTGGGAAAACAAGAATATAGTAAGATCAGCAAAAAGGATATGTCTGGATCAAGGAAAAGTGATCTCCATGAAGATAGTGAGGGGAAGGGGTTTTCGGCAATAAAGCGAAGACGTTGTCAGTGAGTGATGTCCATTTTGAATAAAACAGTACAATTTTGGCGGCTTGGCAGTCAGAAAGCTGGGAAGATGGTTAAGCAAACCTTCACGGGAATTCGGAGTTATGGCCAAAATGTACCAGAAATCCACTTAAGATGCCCATGCGACCAGAGATAGGCGTCCACAGTTTGCTCAGATAGCATGGGTTTAATCACGGAGTGAACCCGTGAAGGGAAGGCCTGAAATCAGCAAGCATTTCAATCAGAGCTTAGGCACTCTGCTCAATTGTACGTGCTTCTAGTGATTTGAGAAATAGCGCCTGGAGTGAAATGCACACAGGGACTGGAACCGAGTGAAATCGGTCAACCAGAAAGATAAGGAACAGCTATAAGATAATGAGGGGATCCGGATTGGAGGCCCGAGTCGGATTGGCCCATCGAAAGAGAAGGAGCCGGAGTGAATAGAAAGTGTGATGTGCCACAAGTGGGCACACATTTTGACGAGTGGACTGTAAATAAGTCAGAATTTGTGATGGGGCGGGAGTGGGAGAAGAGGGTAAAGAGTCGATAGATAGGCCAAGACAGAAAGAGAAATGATAGTGTAACTGTTTTCGGCAGAAAGTCTGTCGAGGGATTGACTTCACTTGTCTCTGACGAGTTCGTAGTTTGGCTCGGAGAATGGCAAAACTGACTGATGCTGGGAATCATGACAACTACTATGCCAGACGACTTCGGACTAGGTGCGTTCTACTAAGTCGCCCTGACAACAAGACCAAGTTTCGACAACGAGGTTTGATGCCATTATTTAAAATATGCTCGAGACAAAGGAAACAAGATTCACCAGGAAATAGTCCGGAAAGGTAAGCTAAATTCTATTTAAGTATGAGTAAGTAGTCAACATCACGGAGCTATTAATTCTTTAATTGTAAATGCACTGGGATTAGGGCATTCGTTTATATTGTATTAATTATATATGAAATCAGTTTTATGTAAATAACTTAAGCTCAGAGAGTTACTGTAAGTGTATCTTTAGACTCACGAAGATCATAGCATGCATTAAATTGAAATTTTCGCCATTATATTTATCCTATTTCTTTAAATGTATCCCTTAAGTTGAATAAATTAGATAAAGTCAACGATTGAGGGGTTCTTCAGCTTTCTTGTTTGCATTCCCACAATCGAAGCCTCGCAGTGAATTGCTATTGTGGGCAAGGACAAGAGTTAATCCGAGTTGACGTCAAAGGATTTAATTCTCACTTATTTTGATCTGACTCCTAGAATATATGCAACGATTTTTCTCAAATTAAAAATAAATTTAATGCTGGTGTAGCAAGAATTTTTTCGTTAAACAGATTAATTTTTGACATTGTTTTCCAGTCTGCGTATTGTCCATTATTACTATAGGCCAGAGGAGATAGGCAAAAAAAGATTGAGTTACGCTTATTATCATTAAATGTATTATTATACGTTAAATAGTTTTCGTTATATTTAAGGGTCACTTTTATTCTATTGGCAATTCTATATTTTTTTACCTAATGTGTATCCGTCCTGGATTTTGACATGAAAATTAGCTTATTTGATGCCATCATTCTTTTAATGGCGTTTATTCTCAGCTTAATGCAAAAACATTTAGCCTGGGTTAAAAAATAAGATGTTGCTCTCCATTAGGTTGGGCTTCAGTCCTGGGACCCATTCTATGCATAATGAAATTTACTCTCGTACAATTTTTTAAAAAGTTTTATTTTATAACTTTGGAGGGGACAATGGGTCGCAAGACGGAGGCAGCATTCAAGGAGAGAAGGGGGCCTTCTCAATTCACATGCATAGTGGGATTTTTAGTGGGGTAGACTCATATTAACGAATAAGATCTAGCAGGTTGCCTATTTTAGATTTCCGAATGTTTCGAAACTACCACATAATAATGAATAATCACATGCTAACTGTAGGTGACGTGAGATGTTTTCCTGACTAAGAGTGTAGCTTCCCACAATGATAAGAGTAAAATTCATTTAAAAATTTAGTCACCTTTGGTCACTTGGATTCTACTCTCTCAATTGCGACAGAATTCAACCACCTGCCGAACAGGTTATATACGAAAAGTTACAATTAATCTCTTGAGATAACATTGTTGTAGAGACCTTTATTTTATATGAAATCACATGATGGAGAGATCCATGGGTCCATCTCATCAGAAGACGATGTGTTCTGTGGCTATGTCTGGCTCTAATACGACGTTCAAGAAGACGCAGTCCACGAAACCTCCTCTTACATTCTGGATAAAACGGATTAATCTTTCGTCGGTAATATGATGGACGTTGTCATTGCTCAAGCTCATCACATCAAAAGCATTAAATTAGTAAGTCTTCTTGACTAAGTGCTAAATTAAAGCTTGTGTGAAAATGAGTTTCAGCTCAGACGAAGGCCGTAATCTACTGATGAGATATACCCACGAATCATGATGCACGTTCATACAAAATAAAAAGTTGCATACATTCTAAAGGCTATGTATGATGCAGCCAGCCAGCCAAGGGTTCCGTAATGCCCTTGGCTGTTGCTGGGTGCCTCAAAAGGTTCGGGGTAGGACTGGTCCAAGGTACCAGTATGCTGTATGAAGATAACTAAAAACTACCAGAATTGTTTGAGTAAGCATTTAGTCAGCCTCATAATGGCATTGTTCGAGGTAGTCATTTTATTGTATGAAAAAAATAGACTTTCAGTCCTCAGATTAACTTAAGAGACCTCGAACTCCTGCTGAAAAAGAATGCCATTATCAACTTATGACTACCAAAACTACGTTAGGATGGTACATGACTAGCCTTATCTCACGGCATAGAGTCAAACTCTCTGTTTGCAGCTCTCCCAAGCTGGCCAAACTATTGAAACTGGCAGAACCTCATCGACGTGATATTGAACGATTATTCGTAATTCCTGTGATCATAAGCTTAATTAATTATTTAACTTAATTAATATTCCAGATTTTCTC